AGTATTTTTGTTAATGTGAGGCGTTGAGCTGTTGGGTTTTGTATATTATTTATATAGAGACCCCAGAGCTGTTGCACCCAATACACAGAGCTTCTTTGCAAAGGAAGTGTGTGACTTCTGCATGGCTGGCAAGGGTGGGTTCTGGGGAGAGTGCGGGGGGCTGGAGCAACCAACCGGTCAGAGCCTTTTTTCCCAGGTCCCATCCCCGTCCCATCCCGTTCCAGTTCAACCCCTTTTTACCTTCCATCCCCTTAGTTTCTGAGTTACAGTCGGATTGCTACTGTCCTCTCTTCTCCAACCTGGCAACATCTTGTATAGGTTTGGGCCATGAGTTTCTTAAGGGCGGCTTACCTTTTTAGCTAGACGTTGCAGGTTCTTTGTAGCTTCTCTCCATGAGGGCTAGACCGCTGGGGTTAGGGAGGGTCCGTGAGACAGGAGGATTTGAGGGGAAAAAAATCCATAGAACCTGATTCTTCTGCCACCCATCCCACACACTCACTGGGTTTTGAACAGGCTTCAGGATGGAGGTTGTGACAGACACTGCCTACCTTTTTTGCCACCTTGCGTGCTCCGTGTCATGCACCAAGCGGCATCTTAGAGAACTTTCCCTGAGAGTCATATTTTTGGGATGAAAAACAGGCCTGCCATTGGCAAGTGTCCCCATCGAACTTGTGGTGGTGGAAAGCCAGTATGGTTCTAGGGGGAAGAGACACCCAGTAAGAGGGAGGACCCCTTTCTTCTCTCTCCGCCCTGTTGCTGGAACTGTTTTTTTTTTTTTCACATGACCCACCTTGGCAGTGACCCAGGATGACTGTTGCTCCCTCCCATCTTGCAGTGGAGAATACTCGAAGCCGTTACCCCAGAGTCGCATTGGGAACTGTGGTAGGGTCATTCACAGCCCCTTTGCCTTCAAGTTTGGGGCGTTAGATCTAAGGCTGTTCAGGAGGGCCAACTGGTTGACTACAAAGGAGTCTTCTGGTATGCGCAGCTGGGGCTGGAAGAGGACCAGCCTCAGCCTGGGGCCAGGTGGAAGAAGGTAACGATCTGACAACTTCAGGGGAACACCCAAGCCATAGCTGCACTGGGTCACTGGCAAGTGTCAAGTGTGCTGGTAAGACCAGGAACATTGATCAATACCCAAGTTCTAAAAAATAAAAAAAAAGAATAAATAAAGCAAAATCCCACTTCGAGGTCCATGGCACCCTCACTCACATGGGACTCAGCAAGTTTCGGAGCCGTGTGCACAAGGAACAAAACCCCAGACAGGGTCCAGGCAGCCGTGACTGTGACCGAAGCTCGCTTCTGATCTGTTCTGTCCTGACATAAACACTCTGAGGAGCTGCAGGCTTGGGGGCACAGCTGGGATAAGGGACACTCTGAGGGACTCGGGTTGGGGAGCAGGGGGTAAACAAAAGGGACAGGTGCACTACACACGGAAACATGAGACACAAAGACAGTGGGATCTGGAGGGGAGAGCCTGAAATGGTGGGGCAACTGGCCTGCTGACAGAGTCTCAGTCTGACATGCCTTAGCAGCAGCCGAAAGGAACAACGTTGACCTTTAGGGAGAGTGACAGGAGGAGAGCCAAGTGCTCCCACCCTCCACTGCTGGCTGCTCGCGCTGCACCCGGTGCTGAGGAGGGGAGAGGGATGCTGAGCAAGGTGGAGGCTTGTCTTTTGTAGAGTATGACTGGGGGCTCCTGCAGGCAGTGCCTCAGTTTCTCCCTTTGTTTCAATGTTTCAAGCTTTGCAGGTAAAGTTAGAGCTAGCTGCCGTGGAAGATCACCTGTCCTGATTTGAGGGGTGCGTGTGTGAGAGGGAGAGCGTGTGAGCCGAGCGTGCTTGAGCAGGGGAGGAACTGGGCCATGCCCCAGGACTTGAGCCATCTCTGGCACAAAAGGAGTTAATGGCAGGGACCGCGCCCCCCCGTGTCCGGGCACGCGCAGCGCGCCCCCTCGGTGCGCGGGCACAGCAGCCAGGCTGCCGGAGAGCAGATCTCGGGAATTCAGGTGCGGAGCCCTTGGCCTGGAGGCGATATGGGTGGTCCGCGGACCGGTTCAGTCGCTCGCAACAGCCTGGGGAACAGGTGAGGCCGCTTGCCCCGGTCTCTCATCCTCTAGCTGCCCATACCTTGCCCCGATCCTATCCCCTCCCAATCCCGGGCTCCTCCGCTCCCCAACCAATGCTCCCCATCCTTCTCAACCCCATGTTCTCCTTAGGCACCCCTGACCCTCAATATCCCCCCCCCCCCGCCCCCGCCGCTTCGCTTCTCCTCTCCTCTCCACCTCCTCCCTGAATCTCGCATCCCTATCATCCTCCCACCCATGGTCCCTCTATTTCCACAGCCTGGCCGCATGCTCATCAAAATGCCCCTACTAAGGGGCCCTGGCCCTATTCCTGTATTGCACATTGCCAGTCCCCCCTCCCCCGCAGTGCAGCCCCATCCCTCTTCCATCATAGCATCTCCCGGCCAGGCTCCCTCCCCCACTCTCTGCAGCCCCCCTCCCCCCAGGCTTTTATTCTATCCTCCCCCATTCCAATGCAGCTCTGTCCCCCAATACCATTCAGACCCGGGTAGCCCCCAGTACTGCAGTTCTCGATACCAGTCCATTCCTGCACAATGCCCCTTGCCCAATACTGCTCCAGCCCCCAAAGTACCCCAGATGCCACTCTAATCCCCGGCATTGGCACCTCCCCTTGTCTTCTCCCAAATTGCAAGTTGGACCAGGATGGAGATCTTGGCCTTGGGGGCTCACAGTGGGTCCTAGGGTACAGAGGGCGTTTGGGGGTCGGCCGATTTGTCTAGGTGTTCAGGGGGGAGGGGCTGCAGGGAATTGACTCAAAGGGGACTGGCATTTGGCACTGAAGGGTTACTGGAGAGGGAGGCAACCTGAAGGGGTTAATGGAATTTGTGGGGAGGGGAGGCACCGAGGGGGTTAATGGTGTGGGGGGGTTGCTGGCGGGGAAGCCGTGTGAATGAGCGGTCTGTGCCCCAGAGTTGCCATGGAGACGGTGAATGGGGGGATTGTGTGAACTCAGCTGCGGACTATCCCCCCCCCATACACACACACACACCCACTCCCTCCTGCCCCACCTCCCTACTCCTACCCCTTCCTTCCCTTTCCCCTCCTCCCCCACCGCAACCCCGGGTGCATTCTGGGCAGCGTCTGGGATCTAACCCCCAACCCCGTACTTTGCTCCCCATTTCCTCTGAGCCCCCACCCCTTTAGTCGCTTTGCCCGCCCTCCCTCTTCCTTCTTCCCTCCCTCTCTTTCTCCTTTTCTCTCTCTAGCTCTCTATCTCTCTCACCCTCCCTCTGCCTCCTTTTCCTTCCCTCTCCCTCCCTCTCTCTTCCTCTCTCTCTCTCTCTCTCTCTCTCTCACTCTCACACACATTCTCATTCCCCTCTCGTGGTGGTGGCGATTGCGGGGCGTTCCCAATCTCCCTCCCCCACCCCTTCAGCCAGTTCTTAAAGGAGCAGGCCGGCAATCTTGGAAGGCGGGAGAAATAGGGAAAACTAAATTGTGCGTGTGTGTGTGTGTGTGTGTGTGTGTGTGTGTGTGTGTGTGTGTGTATGCTCGTGCTTGCGTGCGTGTGTGTCTGTCCATGCAGCAGGGTCTGTGTGCGCCTGTATGTGTTGGCTGTCTGTGTGTCAGAAAGCCTGTGTGTCTTGAGTGTGCTGCTATTTCTGTTTCTGTCTCCACCTATGTGTCACCATTATGCAGCATGTGTCTCTGGATATTTACCTATGTGGTGTGTGTGGGATTATATTCCAGTAAGTCTCTGCGTGCGTCTCTGAATGTCTTTCTCTGTGATTCTCTGGCTCCTGTGATTCTCTGGCTCCGTGAGGCTCTCGGTCTCAGAATGTGGGACTATATGAGGGATCTCTGTGGGTCTGGAATATCCGTCTCCGTGATTGCAGTGTCTGTTGTGAGCCAGGCTTGGTCTCTCTTGCTCCCTTTTTTGAGTCTTTGCGACTTTACCTCCACGGGTCTCTGAGTGTGTGTGTCCCTCACACTCTGTTGTGTATTTTACACTGACTGAGCATCAACAATGCCTGGGGTTCTAGGCAAAGTGGTCTCTGTCTCAGTTCTGGTACTTGGTGTGAATTACAGAGAGCCCACAGAAAGGACCAAGGCTTCCGAATTCGGGAGTGGTGAGGGCAGAGGAGAAATGTACAGGAGGGGCACGGGAGGCTCTGGGGACTCTGGTGAGTGGCCATTCTGCCCTCCCTGTCCCCCAACCCTGGTTGACCCATCAGGGGGTCTCCATGTGGGCCTTTGTGCCTATCTGCTGCTTTTCCTGATGATGCCTTAGAACCCCAGAGTGAGGTTAACAATCCTACCCTCTCCTGGTGTGGGAAGTCCTCCTATGGGGTTAGCAGGTCCCGGGGTCTAGAGAGTCCGCTGTTCATGTCCAGCCCAGCGTGCTCAGGGACCTGAGCTCCATACGGTTCCAGTGTTCCCCACCCCCTGTGACAACATGCTGCTCGGGCCCCTGGCTGAGCCCCCATGAGCTCCACTGGCGGAGGAGTTGGAGTTGGGGACTGGAAACTTGGAGTGGCAGCAACTCTCCCTGGGTCAGTCCCCTAGGATTTTCCAGCCATGGCCAGGCACACAGCCAGGGTCTGAGAGGCAGTGGAGATCATGAGGCGGGTCCCCAGAACCCCAGGCACTGGAGACCTCTCCTACCTGTAGGAGAATCAGCCAGCGCCCAACTGGGGCCCCCAAAGACCCCCCCCTTCCCCGACTCGGGAGCCCTCCCCTGACCATCTTAGATGACGCCTACTTCCCTCTTTCCACAGGCCTGTCCGGCCCTGAGGGAGTCCCCTTTCTGAAGCTGTGGTGCTTGGACGACCTCTCTACGTTGCCGGGCACCTGTAGGTGTCCCTCGAGAGCTCAGTCTTGAGGTTCAAGTCAGTGTGGCCATGAAGGGGCTGCCTGTCGGGCTGATGCTGTGACCCTGGAGTCTGCCTTTCCTGCCAGTCCCCCTGCCCGGAACATGTGGCTGCGGCTTGGCCCGCCCTCGCTGTCCCTGAGCCCCAAGTCCACGATTGGCCGGAGCCTGTGCCTCACCCTGTGGTTCCTCAGCTTGGTGCTGAGGGCCAGTACCCAGGCCCCAGCACCCACAGTCAATACTCACTTTGGGAAGCTAAGGGGTGCCCGGGTGCCACTGCCCAGTGAGATCCTGGGGCCTGTGGACCAGTACCTGGGGGTGCCCTACGCAGCTCCCCCCATCGGCGAAAAACGTTTCCTGCCCCCTGAGCCACCCCCATCCTGGTCGGGCATCCGGAACGCCACACACTTTCCCCCAGTGTGCCCCCAGAACATCCACACGGCCGTGCCCGAAGTCATGCTGCCCGTCTGGTTCACTGCCAACTTGGATATTGTCGCTACTTACATCCAGGAGCCCAACGAAGACTGCCTCTACCTGAATGTCTATGTGCCCACGGAGGATGGTGAGTGCTATGGCCAGGTGCTGTGCCCTCCCTGCCCCCTCCCCCCTCCCGTGGTGTTCGTGGCTTGCACGTGATCGTGTGCCCTGCAGCATGCCTCTGTCCGTCTGTGAAGATGCTTCTAACCATCACTCTGCTTGGCCTCCTCCCCACCTTCCTCCTCCCTGTTCTCCCTTCACCCAGCATTGTCTGAGCTCCCATGTGTGAGTGACACTGTTCCCAGGAGGGGGCCTGGCCAGGCCTGAGAGCTTTGACAGGTCTAGGGCCAGAGTGCTGGATGGGGGTTCCCTGGGGAAGTATGGGTCCCTGCTGGGCAACTGCCCGTGGGAGGATGCTGGCTCCACCAGGCCCCCCTGTTGCCATTCCGCCTGCTTTGAAAGGTAGTAGGTGTGTGTGGCCAAGGGAGCTGGGTGTGTGTGGGGTGGGGGCCAGCCTGGTGGGCATTGCTTAGGTGCCTCCTCTTGGGCTAGCCGCTGCCTCCTCCCGCGGGGCTCACACTAAGGTAAGTGACAGAAACAAGGAGATGGTGGGACAGGCTCTCTGCCATGTGCCGCCTGCAGAGCAGCTCTTGGGGCCTGGGGAGGGGGTTGGGGGGTGCATGCCCCTGGGCAGAGGCCTCCTGTTATTTTTTAGTTTTTTATTCATTTTACAGTAAAGCGGATTTCCAAGGAATGCGCCCGAAAGCCCAACAAGAAAATTTGTAGGAAAGGAGGTAGGTAGCGAGCCGGCGGGGAGGGAGAGAGAGAGAGAGGGAGGGCTGCCTGCCCACCTGCCCTTGCCCCTGAGGACCCAGCCTTCCTTCAAGTAGCCTAGGCTCAGGGGGCAGTCGGTGAGCAGGCCTAAGCTCCACCTTAGCCAAGGGCCCTGGCTGCTCTTCAGGGACGATTTGGTGGCCTAAGGCAGGTTCAGGGCAGAAGCTGCAGCAACCCCGTTTCTTCAGATCTTCCCAGCCCGGGATTCCACCGTAAGGCGTGTGCCAAAGACAGAGCCCATGGTTCTCTCTTGAGCCACCTCGCGTTGGGGGTGGGCGGATCTCCAGGCACCCAGGATGAAGCCAGAGGCTCTGCCCTCTTCCTGGCGCTGCAGCCCCGAGCTCAACCCTCTGTACTCTTTCCTGGGGTCGAAGTCTAGACTCAACTCTCCGACCCTGAAGTTTAGACTCAAGTCATCCTGCCAATCACTCCTGGCCCGCCGCCGCCCCCAGCCAGAGCATAGCTGTGTGACCAGACCGCACCCCCCCCCGGGCTAGTCCCATGACAGACATTGGGGGACTCTAGGAACCATGGACTCGAAAAGGAGACACAACATCCTGAATTTTGCATTTACCCAGAAATGTGCTTCCCTTGTAGAAATAATTCCTCCTGTTGCGGTCCTGTAAAGCACTTTCATACTTAGCTCATAAAATCCTCCCCACGTCTCTGGGGGCTTGTAAGGCAGGAATCAGTTTCCCAATTTTACAGATGAGGAAACAGGCCCAGGGGAGTGACTTGCTGCTGCTCGAGGCCCTGTTGCTGGTCTGGGGCAGAGCTGGGACCCAAACCCGGGTCTCTTGACCCTCGGGGCCATGTTCTTTCCACTGTAGCACGCGAGGCAGCTCCCATCTGGTCATTCCTACCTTCACGACTCTGAAAACAATGGTGAAACAGTGGATGGGCTGCGCCTAATTGGAAAACAGTAACAGCTTAAGGAACAGGTGGAAAAATCACAGCCTGATCCCTACAACCTTTTGGCAAGCTTGGAGTTTGTTTTCCTTTGAAATCCTAGGGCAGGGTTGCCCCCCTCGCAGTGAGTGGGGTTGTCAGGATTCCTGGGCCAGGATGCTCCCTGCTGAGCAGGAATCTCTAGGGGGCAGATTCTGGGGGAATCCACATGTTCAGCTTATGTGTGCTGAGTGCTCTTGATGAACCCTGGAGCACGGAGTGGGGCCTGGGGCTCTGGGGACAGCATTCTGCCACATCCCCACGCCCAGCCCAGGACCTCACACGCAGTAGGCGATCAGCACACACTTCCCCGCACAAGTGAAGAAGCACTGTGGTGTTGCAGAAGGAGAGCAGGGCTGGGAACCCAAAGCCTAACTGAGCCCCAGCTCTCCTGCTAGCTTGCAGTGAGACTTTAGGCAAGTCTTTTCCTGGAGGGGCCTCTGTCCCTGCCTCTGAAGGTGATAAGGGGACCATTCGGGCCTTAACATTCTACTAGTCTGTGAATGAATTCAGGAAAAGGGTCTCTTAAACCTACTCCCGTGGGTTACTTGCTTGGGTGGGGGCTGGGGGGCAGGGAGAGAGGTTGACAGTGAACTTTAACTGTTGCCAGGAGTAATGATCTCCTCCAGAGTGCCAGTGAGAGCCCAGGGCAGTCCAGTCCCGAGAGTTTGGCTAGAGAGCCGACTGGAAGCTCGGGTCAAATGCAAACATTTAGCTCTCAGGATTGTTGACTGTGGGCAAGGCCATGAACTAGGCACTGTGGGGCCGTGGAGGGGTAGGAGGCAGAGGCAAGATTTAGACCTAAACCATGGCTTCATCACCACTCTGACGAAGCTCCCATCCTAGGATTGAAACCTGGCGGGTTCAGCTAAGCCCCGCAGGCCAAGCTGGGAATTGAGCCCCTGACAGTGTGGGGGAGGGCATTCGGTCATTTCACTGTTCAAATTAGTTCCCTATCCAGGGCCAGCTGGCCATTTGGAATGGAATTTACAGACCCCCGCTTCTTGGAGCAGAGACAGCCACCGAGGTTGTTAGGCTTGTGGTGTGCATAGGGTAGGCAGGACCAGCCCCGGCTGGGACCCTGCAGCAGCCCAGTGCTGGGACAGGGGATGGTTGGTGGAGCTGGCCTGCGTGATGGGCATGACAACAAGGAGTTGTTCCGTAAGCGCTCAGCTGAAGGAGAAAAGGCATCTATCTTGGTGGGTGGGGGGAGTGGGGAGCAATAGGGTCCCACCTTCTAAGTCCATGCCCATGCAAGTGAGGGATTTCCTGGGGGGGCGGGGGAGGAGGACCTGCCCCCTCCCACCACTTCCACCTCCATCAGGTTGGAGGGAATGCACGTTTCCGGATGAGTAATTCCCTTCTTCCACTTGGGGGGCTGTCTGTCATGTGGGTGATGCTGCCCCGTGCCCCACAGGGTTTCTGAGCTCAGTCCTGGCAGGTGTTAAGACGGTAGGTGCCACTGGAAGTTCGGGAAGCTGGAGGCCATTTCTGCCCCTTGGGGTGGGGGTGGGGAGGGGTGGGAGGCTCTTGCCCTAGTTGAAAAGCCATTTTGTAATATGAGGGCGGTTCCTGTTTTGATTAATAGCTGTGAGGGATTTCAGTCACCAGAGCCCAGACCAGCTGCGAAAGAGGGCTATTTGCTGCCTGCAGGCTGAGAGTATCTGGTGTCATAGACCAGAGGGTAAGCCCTGGGGTGCTGGCAGAATGACCTTGGTCTCCGAACTCTGCCCAGCATCCAGGCAGTATGCCCTCTGTCTCCACAGCCATGCTCAAGATGCACTTCTCATCTCCTTAGAACAGGAAAGAGAGCTGGTGCCAGCTTACCCACAGGTCCTTAAATGTCTCTCTTCTCTCCTCTGTTCCCTTCTTTTCTCTCCTTCCCTTCCCTCCCCTCTCTCCACCCCGCCCCCCACGCTCCACCTCTTTTCTCGCTGATTTTTTTCCTTCCCTCTCCCCCGGTCCCCAGAAAGGTGGCATGGTGCAGTGGAAAGACCATGGGCTTTGGAGCAGACCTGGGTTTGAATCTTACCTCTAGTACTTCCTAGCTGTGTGATCTTGAGCAAGTCACTTTACCTCTCTGAACCTCAGTTTCCCCATCAGTGAAACAGGAGTAGAGACAGTACCCACCTCACTGGGGTGTGAGGATCAAACAGTATGGCAGACGTAGAGTGACACACGGTAAACACTCGGTCTATGGTAGGAGCTGTTATCATTATTCCTCTGTTTCCCCCTCTCTCTCTGTCTCTCTCCATCTCTCTCATGTCCCTTTCTCCTTCTCCCGTTCCTCCTTTCCCTCCCTCCCCCTCTGGCTCTCTCTCGATCTCAGAGCAGTGCTTGCTGCTCTTAGGCTGGGTTCCTGCTCACAGGAACCCCATTTGCCATCAGCCAGAGCAGGGGGCCCCGACGAGGAAGACCAGAGGGAAAGCTTCATCTCCCATTTCCTCCTCTGGGAATCAGGGTCAGCTGAGGCCCAGCTTGAGCCTTCCCACCGGGCCCAGGTAGCTCAGGGCCAGGGGGGCCCCAGTTCCCGGCTCTGCCCCAATAGCTCACATCCGTATCCAACATTCTGGCAAGGCCACCTGTCACCCTCCGCGCCTGCCCTGGCTCTCCAGCTCAGCCTGCCTGTGTACACACGTGCAGCCCCTGCCACCCAGGAGAAATCCTTTCCCTGAGTGGGTCTCTGGCTCTCTGCCCTGGCCCATATGCTACTCCCGCCTTCCCAACTGGGAAGGGAGTTGGCTGAGATGGGCTGGTGGGGACTGGGGGGCGGGGCAGGGAGGCGCAAGGAAGCCAGTCCAGCAGGGGCCTGCAACACCATCATCGGCTAATAAAGGTCTGGGCCTCAGCCCACCCATTCCCTCGGTTCTTGCCATCCCTCCTGCCTGTCCTGGGCCCAAGCCCAGAGCTGGCTTGCTGGGCCACACTGCAGTCATGCTGTTTTTGAATTCTCTCTCTGTTTTGTTCTCTGTTCTGTGCTGTTGTGTCTCCCCGTGTCTGGTCCCCAGGATCCGGCGCTAAGAAACAGGGCGAGGACTTAGCGGATAATGACGGGGATGAAGATGAAGGTATTTGGGGGCTGCAGGGCGCGGCGGCTGGTGCATGGCACAGAGCCCCTCCCCTTCTCGATGGGGAGAAGCCCCGTCTGTCTGTCTGTCCGTCCGTTGGTGTGTTTCTGTTCCTATACAAGGCTGTTGGGCTGTTCATCCATCTTTGGCCTGCTGGGCCACTGGGAGTTCCTGGGTGATGGACCCGGCTGGCTGGAGGGAGCAGGGGACCACCAGTAGAGCCGGGGGGGGGGGCAGCCTCCTCGCCCCGGTCCCCTACCCTCGTCCTGAGTCCTACAGTAGAGAAGTGGGCACTGCCAGAAACAGCTTCCTCCCGCATCTTCCGTGGTTCAACGGGCACCTGCCCCCACCGATCAGCAGGGAGAGTGGAGAGAAAGCAGGGCAGAGGGAGGGCGGGGAGAGAGGTACAAAGGAGACCGGATGGTGAGGACATACCTGGGTTTCACTGCGGAGACACATGTGTTTCACGGGAAGACGGGCTCTTGGGAGAGGGGCCTGGTAGGCCGTTGAGCTGAAGAGTGAGGCCGTGACAACCAAAAGGGCTGGAGATTAGCAACACCTAAATCACCACTGTCCACCCCCCCCCACTCCCCTGGCCTCCTCCCAGGAAAAGATACATGGCCTCAGGGCCACGGGCTGCAGTGGTTGGCTCGGGACAGGGCCAGGAAGGCTGTGGGCTAAAGTGCCAGGCTGAGGCCAGGATGCCCAGCCCAGTCAGTAGATGGTATAAGATACTTGGGTGCTGGTGGAACCAGTCTGCCTTCCTCCTTGGGAAAACAGGTTGTGTTTGCTAGGCAGCACAGAGCATTTCCTTCTACCTTCCTTGCCCTGGCCCTGCCCCTCCAGCCCTGGGGGAGCCAAACAGCTGTGGGGGCGAGGGGGGGGGCTCCGCTGGTGGCTGGTAGGGCCGCACTGGTGGGGCGGAGTGTTGGTCCAGCTCACACACTGAGAGGCTGCAGGTCAAGGTGGTCAGGTCAGGAGCCTTCTCTTGACTACCCAGACCCAAGGCCACCACTGTGCTCACTGGGCTTGGGAGTGGCCGCTTGAAGGTCTTTCACTGGATGGCCTCTGGGGAGGCTCCATCTTCATCCTGATGCTGATGGGAGGGGAGGGGCTGCAGAGTGGGGTGGGGGGGGTCTCTCTCATTCTTAGTTCTGCCCCTCTCCTCTCCCCCATCCCCAGTGCTTCCAGTTAAGTCTGCCTGATGCCCCCGGGGGACAATGGGATAAATGAGCACATGGCTGAGAGACCATGTCACTAAGGTTCCCTCTACCCCATCACTGCCCTTCACTCCCTTTTACCCATGTCCTTCCTTGTTCTCTCCCTGTGCCACCCCCTTCTTCCCACTCCTCTTGTCTCTGTCTGCACAGGGGGGGGCCAGCTGCTGCCAATGGCCTTACTTCCATGTAACTTGGTCTAGTCTTGGGGGTTTCAAGGCTCCCCAGCCCCTGCTCTCCTAGGCGTGTCAGGTCCCAGGACTCCGGGTGCCCCGGGGGCAGGGACTCGCTTGAGCCAGCTAAGAGACCAGACCTGCCTCTTCCTCCTGCTCCCCTGTCCCCAGGGCCCAGCCTGTGGCCTACCTAGGCCCAACCATAGCAGGCCTGGCTGACTGCCTTCAGCTGGGAGGCTGAAACCTGAGTCTTTAAAACCAACGCTGAAGTCCACCTCCGGCTAAGTCTCTGGCCGATGCTCAAGCTCCGGGCCCAGCAGTCCCGTGAGTCCTGCCCCCAGAGCTGGCGGTGGTGTCCTGGCACCTGGGATAGCTTTGCTGCCCACACCCCCACCCCCAGGGCTGGCGGGGGTGAGGGAGGAAGGGCATCCTACCCAGCCTGTGTCTCACCCCTTCTCCTTGCAGACATCCGGGACAGTGGCGCTAAGCCTGTCATGGTCTACATCCATGGAGGTTCGTACATGGAAGGGACAGGCAACATGATTGACGGCAGCGTCCTCGCCAGCTATGGCAACGTCATCGTCATCACCCTCAACTATCGGGTTGGGGTGCTAGGTATGGTTCTCTGCTAGCTGCCTTGAAGGAGGCCCGGGTTGTCAGGGAAGGAGGAAAGAATGCTGGGGATTTAATGCTGGCCTCCGTTCTCTAGCGGGTGCCAGTGACCAGAGTCAAGTGATATCACATGGTCCCTAACCAAGTGCTGGGTGCTTGCCCATGTTCCCAGGCCCTTTCCCGGAGTGCTTAGCTGCCACTGGAATTTCAATTCAACCTCCACACCTTCTCTTAAAAGTCGCAAGTCAGGTCGCTGCTTTCAGACCATTGCTTGGCTGAGTTTCGCAGGGTCTGGAACTTTCTAGTGTCCTCCCCCTGTCCCTACCCACCCAGACCCACTCCCTCAAAGCCCCACACATATACAGATAGTCCTTCTAGCCCGTCGCATATCCACTTGCTCATGTACCCTCACCTGACTGCACATCCACACTGCCCACCACACACCCCCTTGCATACTATTATTTCTCACACACCCCACAAATACACACATATACCCGTACACATAGAGACCCTCACATCCACATCTACAGGCCGCCTCTCTCACACACACACGTATGCTCCTCCACCACTCCATAAACACTCCACACATATGGTTTTTCCTGTACACATATCCACATGCTATATACCTCTTTCCACTCCACATCCATACCCCATATATACACAGATCTCTCGGAACCCCCCCCACAGCATTCCTGTCTATCTCTCCCTCTACATCTCTGTATCCACATTTACACCTAATACACACTACACGTACCCACACTCACACTTCCTTCTACCCCCACGTAGACGCTCTACACAAAGACTCACACCGTACACATCCACGCTGCACATAAACCCCACATGCCTATACCTTGAATGTACATAAATATTCCTTCCACATTTACACACACACACACACCCCTGTGCTTCCCAGTTCCACCTCCACTCGGACACCCACACGCGTGCATATGTCCCTCAGCTTCCCCACTTAAACACAAACCAATATTCCCCCTCCCTACACACATACACCCACACCCGCCCATCCACACCTCCTCACGCTGCACATCTGCAAATCCTACACACACACCCCCTCGCAAATCCTACACACACACACACCCTTCCACGTCTCCATGCCCATCCCAGGCACTATACTTACATAGCTCTCTGCTGTGTACACACACCCATAGACCTCCTACACAAATACCCACATCCCCACGTAGATACATACACACATGTATACACATACACGCACATAGACACTCCTCCCCTACGTACCCTGTGTATATATGTGCAGTACACATACATACATTTCCCCCGCCCCTACCCTGCCTGACAAACACATACACACTCGTGTACACCTGCTTGGCCTCCAGATCTACACACCTCGCCTCACCCCCATGCGTGTGAGTACCCCACACTTGCATAGCATGTATAGACACACGTACGCATTTCTACTACTCTCTCTGTGTCTACATCCCCATATACTCCCACCCCATCACACAAACACACTCTCACATGTACAGGCTTCCTTCCCAAATGCCTCCTCTTATGCACCCCTGAGTCTTTCCCCCCACATCCTCTGCCGGCCACCGGCTGGGCTTGGTGATGTAGGCTGCCCCTCTGGGCTGTGTCTTCCTTGCTGACTGTTACTACCTATCCGCGGCCAGGTTCCTGAGGTACACAAGTACCTTAGAGAGGGCGACGCAATGTACAGGGTCTTGCTCCCTCTCAGACGCTCACCCAGGCCTCCGAGGGCACGTGCAGCCACATAGCCCTGTAATAGCATGAGGAAGACACTGACCTGGAGGGCTGGTGTCTTCCAGGTTGCAGTGGGGGTCTAGGCTGTGCATCAGGTTCAGAGGCCTGGGTGCTGGACCAGCTGTGGCATGACTTCTTCCCTGGCCCCTTGGCTGACAGGACCTTATCTTAATTTGCTTCTGAGTGTATTGTTCTTGCCAGTTCTAACCCCAGAGTGTCTGGTGCTCCATGCCACTTCTGGTACAGCTCACGAGCCCAGAAAGACAATCTTTTCTTGACTTACCATTGACACTCGGTGGGCTAGCAAGACACCTTTTTGGTGTCCAGACTGGAGAAAGGATATTCCCCGAAAACAGTGGGCCTGTGTCCCTTCGAGTGGCCTCTGGATCCTGGGGGATAAAGCATGCAAGGCATCTCCCTGGTCTCTGGGTGATCTGGCGGGCTTGGGTTTCATGGTTTGGCTGCTGCTCCTCTGTCTCCCCGAGTTGCCCCAGACGTCCTGGTGAGGCTCTCTTGAGTGATCTGTCCTGTTGAGGAAGGGTATCTGAGTCTCTGACAGCAAAGGGGAAGAGAAAGTGGCCATAAAGCTACATGCAAGGGCTGCATGGTTCCGGAAGAGTCAGGAATTTCCAGAAGCAGGCTCACACAGATATCCAGCCACGCGCCTACGGTAGCTGAAGGCCAGAAGGAGCCTTGCCACCTTATTTTCTTAGTGAGACTGATAGAAAATGTTCAACCCGGCTGCTTTTAAAAATCAGAAACACAGAGCTCCATTCTGTTGGTTTTATTGGAAAGCACAGAGAGTACGAAGAATGTGCCTCGGTTCCGTATGATTGGAACAGCTAGGGAGGCAGAAAAGAAAGAGTGGAGGAACGGGGAGGAATGCGGTGGGCTGGGAATTGAGGAAGAGAAGGAAAAGACAGAGGGGAGAGAAAAGAGGACAAGATCACACCGAGCAAGGAGACAGGAAAGAGAGATTCAGGATCTGAAGTGTCTCTTCGCAGCTGTGGGCTGTACAGGGCCTGTTGCCGGTGAGTGTTCCCTATGGTACCCAGTGTGCTGGTTCCTGGACAACCCTCCCACTTCCCTAATCTTGAATCTTATACATCAGAAGTTCCTAACTCTGGGGGGAGCCTTGGACCCCTCTGAGATTTTAATGAAAGCTATGGACCCTACCTGCCCCCCCCCCCGGTAAATGTGCACACACGTACACAAACCTATAGAAACGTTTCCATGGACATCACCGAAACTCATCCTAGAAACTCAGGTTAAGCACCTACCCCCACCCCACCTGCTTTACAACCCCTTCTCATTTGGGTAACCAAAACAGCACATCCGGGGGCAAGAGTCGTATTCTTTGGGCTTCAGCTGTTAATGATCAACATAATATTATTACCCAAACCTTGGAAGGAGTCACAAACTGAGATTTGGTCCAAAGTTCCCCCCACCACTTCCTGTGTCTCCTTTAAAGCCTGCTCAGCAACCCGAATGTAGTCTATAAGCCACTGATTGGATTCTGGGTACCTACAAGATGTTTTTGTCTCTCGGTGCCAGACGTAGAACATAGATCTGTCCCTGGCACTTGGAGACTTTGCTGTGTAGCTGAGACTTGGTTGTTTTGGGTCTTCAAGCATCCCAGATTGGGCAGGCCGGATTGGGAACCCCTAGCTGCATGCACACATTCACCCTCCCTTCAGCTTCTCTGGAAGCACTGAGCCCAGACATATGGTTTACTCTGAGGTGCTTCTTGGGACATCTTGGGTGATTCATTTATATGGAGACTGTCACAGACCAGTCCATGGATCCCATTTTATTATTTGAGGAGTCCCCCCCATGGGGCTTGAGACCAACACAAGAGACACCGGCAGGATAGCAGACGTGGACACCCCCAGGGCCGAGGAGGTAGGGGCTTGCCAGGTTTTCATCTGGGTTCCAGAATTTGATGATACATCTCTGCTCAGGCAGCCTTTGGGGCAAACAGACAACCTGGTGAAAGTCAAGCCTCGAGGGATGGAGCTCTGTGGTTTGGGTGCAGTGTGCCTGATTCCCTCATCCTCTGTTGACGGGGGGCCCACCATGGACCACACAGTGCCAATCCAGGGCCCAGGGAGCCAGTCTCAGGTTTATTGTGACAGTTTCTGTGGAGGAGTATTTCAGCCCTTCTCGTCCCATGGTTTCCGTGGACGGCTGAGTTACTGGGGCCCTAGCAGTGAGCGACTTGCTCTCCTGCGCTGCCAGGCTTTGTGCACTCTTGGTTGGTCACATTTGCGGGATCACCTGCCTCGGCCCAGTGGATAGAACATTTCACGCAGGACTCTTGTAGTAGAGATGGTTGACATGGCCTCATCTGCATGCTTCAGCGCCGCTCATCCTGGGGCTTGGCGGAAGCCAAGGGAGCAGAAAGGGGTGGTTGGCTCCTCCACCCAGCCCCATCGGGCCTTGGTTCCCAACCCAGGGAATCGAGACACGTTGGCGAAATCTACTTGACTACCTTGAAGCACCGGGCTCCTCCCGCTGCTGGGACAGATGCATTGACACATTTCACGGCACACGCCCTCAGCCGGGGCTGAAGCCTGGTGTGCCGAGGCTTCAGTAAGAGGAAAGGGAAAGGAAATACGGAGGAAGGAGAAAGGCAGGGAGACAGGATGGGAGGGCTAAGAGAAGCGAAGAGTGGTTCTTGCAGGAGGGCCTAGGGCTTGGACAGCTGGGGTGGATCTTGGTCAGCAGACTTTTTTAAGACTTGCAGCAGCAGCTTCGGTGTATGAATGGGACAGGCAGAGGAGAAGCGGGTTCCCTTCTCTGGAGGAACAAGGGCCCCTCCGTTCATCCTCATTCAGGCTTTCTTTGATTCCTTCATGGTTCCTTGCCGGGAACCTGGGGGCTAAAGAGGGCTTGTGACTGGGTCCTGAGAGGAATAACTAAGGAATAACTTTATGTTCTTAATGGTACCAAATGTAAATTAATAGCACCTTGAAGAGGGTGAAATGAGCTCTTTCACAGAAGCTAGAAACAGGAGGACCTGAGAAAGACAGGGATGAGGTCTTGCACCTGCTTGAGTCTATTTCAATTCAGCTTCCACCCATGGCCGGCCCGGACAGCCAGAGAGCTCCCTGCGAGCTGAGGGGGCCTTTTCAAACATGACCTCCCACAAAGCTGATCCCAGGTGCTGTGAAGGAGCTTTCAAACGGGGAGTCCAAAACGAACCAATCCAGGTATGGGGTGTCCGACGCATAGGAGCGCCACGACTACCCACCTGGAAAGAACCCTTCCAGAAGCCTAGGGCGGGAGAAGATGGGAGCTTTCCAAGGAGCGCAGGGATCAAGGAAGAGAGAGGAAATGAGGTGGTGTGATTGGCCTGAAATGGATGCAGGGTGGGGGGGAATATAGGACATCTCTGTGGGATAGCCAGCAGGTGGGCGGGAAGGTAGTCTCCATGGCAACAAGTCTCCACAGCAGCAAATCCCAGCAGGTGGGTGGGAAGGTAGTCTCCATGGTGACATGTCTCCTCAGCAGCAAATCCCAGTGGGTGGGCGGGCGGGAAGACCTGTTTCTGTGGTAACACACAGCTCTGACTTGCCCATTTCTCCACCAGATGAAAAAGATGGCCTCACCCAGTGGTTTTCTAACTTTAGCAGGCCCCAGATCACCTGGAGAGCTGGTGAAAAATACAGATTGCGGGGCCTCCTCCCCCGAGTTTCTGAATCATTAGGTCCTGGGAGGAGGGGAAATGAGAATCAGCCCCGAGATGAGGGGAAAGAGCCACCCGAGGCCCTGGAATAAGGTGTGCAGGTGGACGAACCCAGACAGGATGGGTGGCAAGCAGGGCTTGGGGACCATTGCCTCTTGGGAGCCTCGATCCCTTCAGAGAGAGGAGGAAAGGGAACGAGAAGTAATTACAGACTTAGAGAGTGCAGAGCGTGTTAGAGAGGCCTGTGTTCGATTTATCCCGGCTACAACCCTTTGAAGTATTTTTATCTCCATTTTAGAAGAGGAAACTATAGCCCAGATATTTTAAATAACTTGCCCAAGGCTATATGGCCAGTAGGCAGTAGAGCTAGAACGCGAACTGAGAACCATCTGACTCCAGGGTCCCTGTTCTTTCCAATCTGTCTCGCCGGGGAGCTAGGGTAATGGCTTGGAGAGCACCTCAGGGACCTGGCCGTTTGCAGTTCTTGCAGCTTAAGTCTCCCAGCTGAAGGCGTCCCCTCAAATAGTCTGGGGACCCCCCCCTCCACACTGGAGAATGGGAGTGGGAGGCAAGGAGCAGATTGATCCTTCCTAAATGGATGGGGCTGGAACTTGCATACAGGAGCAATGGTACATGGTAGCTGGGTGGACAGAACACCACCGCATGCCCCTTCCTCTGTCCTCATGTCCTCCCATCCTCCCCGCCCCCATCTCCTGCTTGCCATTATAACCCCAATCTCCCATCCCTCTGCCTTCACCGTCCCCATGCCCTATGTTGAATCCAGGTTTCCTGAGCACTGGCGATCAGGCTGCCAAGGGCAACTATGGGCTCCTTGACCAAATCCAGGCCCTCCGCTGGGTGAGCGAGAACATTGCCTTCTTTGGTGGCGATCCCCGCCGTATTACCGTCTTCGGCTCGGGCATTGGTGCGTCCTGTGTCAGCCTCCTCACGCTGTCGCATCACTCCGAGGGTGAGTAGTGCTCGGGGCAGAACCTCAGCTAGCAATGGGCCAGCTGCCCACCCTGAGCCTCAGGCCTTCTGGGGTCCAGAGCACCCAGGGGAATCAGCTGGCCCTCCTCTACCGGCTTGGCATCCTTTGGGGAGAAGTGGAATGGAAATGTTCCTCTCAGGGAAGAAGTCCTTCTCCCAGTGCAGGAGAGGGAAAGAGAGAATCCTGTTTATATCTTGAGAGAGTAAGATCCTCCTTCCGTGTGGGAGTCGAGTTTGGGTGAGTGGGAGTCGAGTTTGGGTGAGTGGGAGTAGAATGTCTATCTGAAGGGACAGCGGGTTTTTTTTTTAATTGGGGGGGCAAGGGAAATCTTTCAGTTTGGGAAGGACATGTGACTTCAGGATACAGCTCTAGAGTGGGAATTCATTTTTAGGTGTAAGAAACACTCATTCTCTGCCTTTCTCTCTGAAGAACAAGTCTGTACAGGAGAGGATCTGTCCTTAAGCGGGGAGATGGGTCTGAATAGTGAGGATCGCTAACCTGTGGGGTGGGCTTTTTCTGAGAGACTGGCAATCTGGTAGCCCACACCAGAGCTCCTCCTGGGCTGGGCAACCACAAGGGAGATTCATTCTTAGCCTAGAGGAGAGCATCTCTCCTTGCTTGGCTAGTGACTCATTAAGGGAGCCAAACAGGCCCTTTGTGGCTCAGCAGGGCAAGTTCCCTTCAACTCCGGGCTGTAGAGCACATTCTGTCTCTGAGAGGCAAAGATGAGCTTCTCATGTAGAAGAGACCTTCCTGAAATAGGTTCCTTTCCTTCCTCTGAGGAAAGGAAATCTGGGAGAGAGGACAAGGTTTTTTTGTTGGAATCCACCCTGTGAGTGAGTGATATTCTCACAGGAAGACTTTCAGTCCCTCTTTGAAAAAGGCCTATCCGTCTCAGAGAGAAAAATCACCTTCTCTGACCTCGACATCCTGCCTCTGTCCCTCGAGGGACTATTCCAGTGAGGGAAGACCAGGGTGGGATCAGAATCACACCATAGTAGGGGGAACAGGGACCCCTTTCTCCACGAAGGAGGGTGAGATGACTGATTGTGAGGGTGCCCCTGTCTGTAAAGAGGACTGGTGCCTCCTCAGATCGGGAACTTCCCTGGGAGGGCAAGGCCTTTCTTGGGGAAGTGCTACATTCTGTCCCCTGAGGGGCCTGGCTCCCCTAAAGAGTTGTTCTCTCGGTCTTTCTGTGACTGATTCACAGAGAATCAGTGGAAAAGTAATCCTCACTTTGGAAAAGTGAGGCTCTCTCTTAAGTAGTAATCTATATTTCTCTCCTTCTCTTTCTACCCATGCCAACTGCCTTTCTCTTAGAGGAAAGAAACAGGGTGTCTGATCTGAGGGCCAGATTATTCCTCACTTGGGGATGTTGGGACCAGGGACAGCATGATACCCCCTCTTTTTTTTTCTTGGGCGGGGAGAAGAATCATCCACTTTTTGAGTTCGGAGGACTGGCTCCCTCTTGGCCAGGGGAAAAACTAGATCTGAGGCATCAGTAGCTTCAGGAAAAGGAAAGTCTCTGTGGAGACTCCACGCTCTGAGGGCATGCTCCCTGGAGACTTTGAGATCCCCAGGCCTTTGCCCTCAGGAATCTTTCCCCAAACTCCCAGAATGTGAAGCTCTCTCCTGCCTGCATTTCTCATCTCTCATGAAAAAGACCCCTTTGTGGCGGAAGCGCCAGCTCCCTGGTGGTGTGCTGGCACAGAGCTGGGCCCAGCTGGGCAGGAAGCAAGGAGGGAAGACAAGGAGAGATAAAGAGAGGGAGCATAAGGAAGCTGATGTCTGGGAACCAAGGGGTTAATTCCTGCCACCATTTCCTTAACCCCCAAGTTACCAACCCTCATTCCAGAACAAGGAAGCAAGGAGCAGGCAGGGGGTCAGTCCAGGTCACGCAGGGGCCCAGCAATACCTCCTCTGGTCCTAATCCATCATCCCCGCTGAAAGGTCTCTTCTTCCTGAAAGGTCTCTTCTTCCTTTGTAGCTCACTGCACCCAGAGGGCAGCCTCAGTGACAGAGGAGTGAGGAGAGGTTTAATTTGTCCCTCAGGGAAAGGCAAGGGAGGCCTAGGCGCTGGGGGCCATGATGATCTGAGCTGGTGCTGCGTGTCTTCTGCAGGGCTTTTCCAGAGGGCCATCATCCAAAGTGGTTCTGCCCTGTCCAGCTGGGCCGTGAACTACCAGCCGGTGAAGTACACCAGCCTGCTGGCGGACAAGGTAGGCTGTAATGTGCTAGACACGGTGGACATGGTGGACTGTCTTCGTCAAAAGAGTGCCAAGGAGCTGGTAGAGCAGGACATCCAGCCAGCCCGCTACCATGTGGCCTTTGGCCCTGTGATCGATGGCGACGTCATTCCTGATGACCCTGAGATTCTCATGGAGCAGGGCGAGTTCCTCAACTATGACATCATGCTAGGTGTCAACCAGGGCGAGGGGCTCAAGTTTGTGGAAGGGGTGGTGGACCCTGAGGATGGCGTCTCAGGCACTGATTTTGACTACTCAGTCTCTAACTTTGTGGACAATCTGTATGGCTATCCTGAGGGCAAGGACACCCTGCGGGAGACCATCAAGTTCATGTACACAGACTGGGCAGACCGTGACAATCCGGAGACCCGCCGCAAAACACTGGTGGCGCTCTTCACTGACCACCAATGGGTGGAGCCCTCGGTAGTGACCGCTGATCTGCACGCCCGCTACGGGTCACCTACATACTTCTACGCCTTCTACCACCACTGCCAGAGCCTCATGAAGCCTGCTTGGTCAGATGCAGCTCATGGGGACGAAGTACCCTACGTTTTTGGTGTCCCTATGGTAGGCCCCACCGACCTCTTCCCCTGCAATTTCTCCAAGAATGATGTCATGCTCAGTGCTGTTGTCATGACCTACTGGACCAACTTTGCCAAGACCGGGTAAGGAGAAAGTGGGGGTTGCTCTTTGGGACCCCAGCATGCCTACACCTCCACTCCTCTATGGTTAGACCTCCTCCTTTGTCTCCTTTTTAAAAGACCTTCCCCCAAATCTTGCTTGGTCCCCTCTTCGTTCCCTTCCTACTTCCTCCTTTTGAGTCTTTCGTGCCATTTCTTCCCTCCAACATGTTGTCGAGGCTTGGAACTCAGCTAGCGTTAGGAGTGAGCCACAGGGAGAGTTACTGAGAACCATGGGATTCAAGGTTAGATGGTCAGAGGCCGAGTGAAGCGGGGAAAAAAGTGCCTTCACGAAGAGCCTTTCAAGGGTTCTTGGAAAAACTGGGCAGCTGAAAAGATTGGCTGATGTTTGGGAGCACGTGAGAAGAAAAGGCATCTATAGCATGACCTTACAGGATGGGCACAGGGAAGGATGAACCAGTTTCCATGATACAGTGGGCAATAGGAATTCAAGGCCCCAGGGAGGAGGAGAGGTGTGGACAGAGGGAGGGACCCTGAAAAAAATGGAAATGTGGGTGTGAGAGGAAGAATTCTGGGCCCTTTCTCACCTAGGTAGAGTGGTGACCCCAGATTTCCATGTGGTATTTCAGGGATCCCAACAAGCCGGTCCCCCAGGACACCAAGTTCATTCACACCAAGGCCAACCGCTTTGAGGAAGTGGCCTGGTCCAAATACAATCCCCGAGACCAGCTCTACCTTCACATCGGGCTGAAACCAAGGGTCCGCGATCATTACCGGGCCACCAAGGTGGCCTTCTGGAAACACCTGGTGCCCCACCTATACAACCTGCATGACATGTTCCACTATACGTCCACAACCACCAAAGTGCCGCCCCCGGATACCACCCACAGCTCCCACATCACCCGCAGGCCCAACGGCAAGACCTGGAGCACCAAGCGGCCAGCCATCTCCCCTGCCTACAGCAATGAGAATGCCCAGGGTTCCTGGAACGGGGACCAGGATGCAGGGCCCCTCCTGGTGGAGAACCCTCGTGACTACTCCACTGAGTTAAGTGTCACCATCGCCGTGGGGGCCTCCCTCCTGTTCCTTAACGTTCTAGCCTTTGCTGCCCTCTACTACCGCAAGGACAAACGGCGTCAGGAGCCCCTGCGGCAGCCCAGCCCTCAGAGGGGTGCCGGGGCCCCTGAATTGGGAGCTGCTCCTGAGGAGGAGCTGGCAGCTTTACAGCTGGGCCCTACCCACCACGAATGTGAGGCTGGTCCCCCCCACGACACACTGCGCCTCACTGCACTGCCTGACTACACACTGACCCTGCGTCGTTCTCCTGACGACATCCCACTCATGACACCCAACACCATCACTATGATTCCCAACTCCCTGGTAGGGCTGCAGACATTGCACCCCTACAACACCTTTGCCGCAGGATTCAACAGTACTGGGCTGCCCCACTCACACTCCACTACCCGGGTATAGCTCCAGCCCAGAGCACAGCCTATCTCCTGGCTCCCTCCTGCCCAAATCCATGGACACACACGCACCCACAGACACGCACAGACACACGTGTAAGCACGCGCACACACACACACATACACACAGAGACACATACACGCAGATATGTAGACACACACACCCACACCTGACAGCAGACCCACCTGCACAAACATAGACAGATGTGGACATGCACCCGCATGTACAAAAACACAAATAAGGAAGTAAACCTGAACAAACCCTTCAAATGGGGACGCAAGTGAGTCCTTGGGAAACTGAGGACCTGTGGAACAGCAGCTGAAGCCAGCTCCCTGAGCCTGATCACAGACACTCCTGGGGGCCCAAAAGCACCAGCTGGACACCCCCTTGGTGCTCGCCTTCCACCTCTTTTGGAACTGCACCACCCACCAACTCCAGACTTGGGAGCTTTAAAGAGCAGAGTAGCTCTTTCTCCCCCCAGACTTGGTCTTTTTTCTGGGTCTTGTTTTTGTTGATTTTTAAAATAATTTTGGAACACATGCCTCTCCAACCCATGAGCGCAAAGAGGCTCTGGAAGGGAGGCTCCAGGCCCATGTCTGTGTGGCTCTGGCACCCCCAGGGCTCACACAATCCGGCCAAGGAACATGACCCTCCCAAGAAAGAAACAGATTTGAGCAAGACCATGGGGTGGAAGAAGGAAGGGGCTACTGCCGGATGGGGTTGGAGGGCCACAGGGGAGAACTCTCCAGCCATCTATCTCTGCGTCCCTGTGGAGGGCTCTAGAGACTGCAGGGTGACCTGCTTTCCCCCAAAGGCCAGGATCACTGGCCTGGCTAGACCAGGGGACCCTAGATTTGGTGAATGAGGTTCTGGTGGAGGTCGTCGCTATGGGGCCCCTGGGTGTAATCTGGGTTCTGCCTCTGCCCTTGGGGTAATGGTATCAGAAATTCGCCCCATTTTCTTTACCAAGTCTCTTTTGTGTCTGTCATTTCTCTTTCAAAAAGGCGGTGTTTTTTTGTTGTTGTTGGCTTTTTTTTTTTAAAGAAAAGTTCTTAAAACACTAACGGAAACCCATGGAGTTTGTCCTTTGTAAAAATTTTAAACACAGTGTCTTGATATAAAAATAAAAAATCCAGTTAGCACTCCCAACCTGCCTCCCTTGCACAGGCCTTGCCCCAACAGACCTCCCAGCAGGGTGCCCCTGTGGGCTAGGATTCCAGCCTGTCTCTGTGTCCTGTGCCTTTGAACTGAGACAAGTCTGGGCTACACTCCCCTGCGCCCCCCCCCCATGCAGGCCTGTCCAGTCTTAAGCAGGTTGCCCTACCCTTACCCCCCTGCCCCCCAACGCTCTGGGTTCCTGCTGCTGAAGTCTTCTCTCAGCACCATGGGCCTCTTAATGAAAGGGCAAAAAATAATACTTCCTCCTCCTCCTCCTCCTCTTCCTCCTCCACCCCCACCCCCACCCCGCCCCCACGGCAGCCAGCCACTGCCACTGGGCCACCACCACCTGCTGCTGCCACTGCCACCATCACCACCATCCTGCCCCCATCCTGGACTGGGGGCTGGGAGGAGGCATGACCTCTAACAGGCTGAAATTCTTTCTCACATCGGAATCCAGTTGGGCATCAGATAGGTGGACCCCCTGGTCTTGGAGGACTGACAGAGCAGGGGCCGTCTCCTCCCCAGGGATACTTGTTTCTGGTTCTGTGAATTACAACTGGAGAACTCACTGAAGCCCTGCAGTGATTTCTCTCCAGGATTGCAATCAGGGGCTCCTAGGGGTTCGCCCTGCCCCCTCAACTCCCTGGGGGGGGGAGGGGGCATTCAATGGGCCCTCTACAGGTTTAGCATTATGGTGGTTCACTTTCTTCTCAGCGACTCGAAGGACCGAACCTGGGAGTCTGCTCCTCAAGTGTGACAGTTGGGCAGGGTTGCTGACACCTCAGAAACCAGGAATAGACTTCTTCAAAGTGACCCTGACAAAGTGAGGGAGATAAACCAACACAACAGAATGGTGTTCAGATGGGATGAACGCAAGATAGTGCAAAGACCAAAATTGAGAACTAATATACTAATACGGTACGTGGGGTCAAGAGAGTTGGCGATGACTGGTTGGACACAGTTTGGTCAAAAAAGAAAAAAAGAAGTAGGGGGAGGGTGACGGGGTGGGTCACAAGTTAAATGAGTCCATAGTGTAGAGACGGCATTCACCCTCCTCCCTCCCCTTCCTCCTTCTTCCCTCTCTCTCTCCTTCTTCCCTCCCTCCCTTTCTTCTTTTCAAAACTAATGTGAATACTAGCATATAATAACAAAAATATAGGATGGAACTGCTGGGAAGTAATCCGAGTCCGAGTTTTAGAATGAGAAATAACCTCAGGGGCATGTAGTCTGACCCACTTATTTTTATATCTGGGGAAATGGGCCCAGAAAAGCCCAACATTTTCTAACCCTCAGTTACTGTTAGAAGCAGACCCAGGATGTTGTCCCTTCATATATGACATTTTCCGTGGTCCTTTTCTTTTTATTTTTTTAAAAGATTTTATTTATTTATTTGAGAGAGAGAATGGGAGAGCACAGTGGAGGGGAGGAGCAGAGGGAGAGGGAGAAGCAGGCTCCCTGCTGAGCAGGGAACCTGATACAGGGATCGATCCCAGGACCCTAGGATCGTGACTTGAGCCGAAGGCAGACACTTAAACAACTGAGCCACCCAAGCGCCCTGGTTCTTTTCCTTTTAGGCCTTTTCAAACACTCATGGGTCTACCCTTGGTCAACACATTTTCAGCATATGTGGAAAGCTGGAGAGGTTCTGGAGCCGAGCAAAAGCAATGTCCCAAAGGACTAGGTCTTTTAAAATTATTATTATTATTATTTAGGAAAGAGGAAGCTGATGAGGTAACATTCAATAACTGTGGAGACCTACTGTGTGCCAAGTGTGCTCTATCATCCTCAAAAATTTACCTCCTAAGTAAGGGCAGAAATGATGATCTATTGTCCATTTCTTCTGAAAATGACAGAGGGCGAAAGACTAAATCAGACACAGGGAAAGATTTCGCTACATACTCAGGAAGTCCTCAGTGACAGTTGCCGAATTGAATAACTGGCTAGTAAGGAAAGCCCTGCTATTCATCTTCCTGCAAACAGACCGCTGGATTGCATGAGCTTTTCAGGTCGATTCAAGGTCTTCATTGTTATGATCCTGTGATTGTTTCATCTCAGATATTCCCAAACTGGGCCTCATCTTCTGGGTGTGTGTGTGTGTGTGTGTGTGTGTGTGTGTGTGTGTGTCTGTACTCCTCTGAATTAGGAGGCTCTCTGTTTGGAGAAGATTTACACATCGCCTCTCCTCTAAGAACTCAAGGTGCAGTAGCTAACCCAGATCCAATCCTATTTGGGACCCATCAGTGGGAGACTACAGTCAGTCTTTCACACCTTTGAAAGGCCTAGGTAGAAAGGTAGCTTGCAAGACAGGCAACCTTCCCATCTAATGGACAGTCGGTCCTGTGCCCAGCTAGCTTGAGGGGTCTCCACCCCATTACTGCCTCGAAGCTCTGAGCCCCAGCTGGAAAGTCCAGCTTCTTGTTCGAAGAGGGGCGGAGGAGAGAGACTCTTGGATTTTATTTCACATTGCAAAAATCATTCATGCCTAGACCGGGTCCAGTCGGCATCCCTAGATTTATCTGGTTTCTATAGTAGTCCTTTGGGGAGCTGGACACAGCTATCTTGGGATCTTTTGGTGTGTGTGAAGGGCCAGAGTTTGGACATTGCGGAATTCTCCACTGGAAGTATGATGATCAGGACTGTCAGCCTGGCCCTATGCTAGTTTATATACCGTGAAGGATAGAATACAGCCCCTTTGGGGTGCACACTGTCAGGAATACAAAACTGAACTATAATAAAATGAACAAAGTGCAGAATCCAGCAAGTGACTTCAAGTGTATGGTAAAGGTTAAAGGAGCTGGAGACATCCCAAGAAAGGCCACAATGGGATTTGAGGGGTTGGCTGGAAGAGTGGGCATTTCAAAGTGGGAGACAAGCTTTGGGCTAACTGTGGCGAGGAGGTCTTGGCATGCTCGAGGAGCAGCAAGGGGACTGACCTGACCGAAGAAGAGGGTTCAAGTTAAAGAGCTGGAGATCAAGATCAAGATTAAAGGGCAGGTTGTGGAGTTCTTCATGACAGACTTGGAGTATCACCGCACGTGTGATAGGACCACCCCGCCCTTTCCTTTTGCTAAATGTCTTGAGAGCGAGAAAATAAGAACATCCCCACCCAGATCCTCTTTTGTTCCTTTTCTTCTGCAAGCAGAAGGATATTCAGAGTAGAAAGGACAAAACGAGCATCAGGGAGAGACTCCTAAAGACAGTCCAGACCAAGAGAGCCTTCAGAGGCTCTGAGTAACTCCATCTCAGGGTCTGGGTCAATAACAAGCCCAGGGGCATTGCAAGGACTTGTGGCTCAAGTTTGAAAACCCCATGGAGAGCGAAGAAGCTGCACACTGCGGCTTAGAGACGGACAAACGTGACCCACACTCTTAGAAATGGGAAGCGATGTTACAGATCAATACGTTTGATATTGATTGAGGGCAAGATTCTAGGACAGATGATTAAAAGGATTGCTGGGGAGCCCTTAGAAAAGGAAGCAAAGACCTCTCAGCCCCTGCACGGGGTCAGGACAAACAAGTAACTCCCCGGCTCAGCTCATTTCCTTTGCTAAGGTGCCTGCCTGCATGGGCAGAGGTGGAGAACGCTATACAGAAGACGTTTCTGGAGTTCAGCGAAACATCCTCTCATGATACTCTTGGGACAACACGGAGAAACGTGGGGTGGGTAAAGATAAACCTAGGCGGGTTATTAGCCCGTTGCCCGATGACACATGACAGGATTCTGTTTTCATGTCACCAGATCAAACTCGAAAATTACATACAGCTGGGAGAGAGAGCCAAAAGGTGAGATGACAGTCAGGATTCAGAGAGACGTCAAGAGGCTGGTGTGATAAAAAAAAAAAAATAGAGGCTGGTGTGATGGACTCATTATAGGAAAACAGAAGTTCATAGGGACAAAGACAAGGTCACTTATTTGAAGTCCTGCATTTAACATTGCAAATATAAGATGTGAGAGATGTGGCTTGAAAGGTTTTAAAGTAAATGAAAGCTCATAATGAGCCACGAGTCAAAAGCATGGTTTGGTTGCTACAGAAAGTATTGTGACCTTGGGCTGTATTAATAAAGGTATAGTGTCCAGAATGAAGGAGGTAATCATCAGGTGCTACTCTGCACCGGTCAGACCACACTTGAAGACCTCTCTGTTCAGCGCAGGCATCAAACACCAAGGGAGATGTCAATGAAAGTACACGCAGAGAAAAAGTGGTGAGAACAGCAAGGCAACTGGCAAATCCCGAGAGATGTGTTCACTGTCAGCAAATCATGACCGGACTCATGGGGAAGAGGAAGCTGTAGATATGTTCTGTGCATGACTCCAAGGGCTCCGAGATCTAATGGGCAAAAGTGAGAGGAAAGCAGATTTGGGTTCAACATAAGGAAGATGCTTTTTTTTTTCTTTTTTTATAATGAAAAAATTATAATAAAAGTTTCAGCTTATGACTCCAGCCTCTTGAAGTCCTTGTAGAATTTTTTTTATTATTTATTATTTATTTGACGGAGAGAGAGAGTACAAGCAGGGGGAGCAACTGGCAGAGGGAGAAGCAGGCTCCCTGCTGAGGAAGGAGCCCCGAGGTGGAGCTCGATCCCGGGACCCTGAGATCAGGACCTGAGCCCTTAGGCACCTGAGGCAGACACTTAACCAACTGAGCCACCCAGGCACCCCCTGCCCCTTGTAGAATTTATTACGAACAGTTTTAAAAACAGAGGAGAAAAGAGATCCTAAGCTCAGCATCCCAATATAAGCACATTGATGTTTTTAGTAAGAACTTTTTAATGATTAGTAGTACTCTCTGGAATTGGAATGGGCTATCCCAAAAGTTAGGCAGCTCCAGAGATAATCAAGCAGCCCCTGGACAACCACTCCATATGGATGGTGCAAAGGCAATGAAAGCATCTGATAAAGGTTCAAACCA